TGGACTTTATAAACTACCTGGCTTCCTTGCTGTTGCTCATAGTTCTCCATTCACCCTCCCTCCTTACTTCTGCCTTTTGGTTTCCCTTGCCTCCTTCAAGACTCCGCCCTAATCGCACCTTCTGCCAAGAGCCTTTCCCCATCCCTCCCCAAGTCTGCCCTCCATTTGACATGGTAAATATCTTGTTTTGCTGTTGTTCAGTTGTGTCTGACTCTTTGTGACCCCATGGTTTGTGACCATACTGCAACAGGACCTTCTATCCTCCACTATCTCTTGAAGTCTGTCCAAATTCATGCTCATTGTTTCCATGACACTGTCCATCTCATCCTCTGCTGTCCCCTTTTCCTCTTGCCTACAATCTTTCCCAACATCAGGGGCTTTCCCAATGACCCCCATATTATTATGTGGCCAAAGTATTTAAGCTTCAGTTCAGTATTTGACCTTCTAGTAAATATCCTGAATTAATTTCTTTAAAGATTAACTAATTTGATCTCTTTGCTGTCCAAGGGACTCTCAAAACTCTTCTCCAACACCACAATTCAAAAATGTTGATTCTTTGGCATCATAGCTTTCCTTAGAGTTCAATTTTCACAGCTATATACTGTTATTAGAAAAACCATAGCTTTGACTATATAGACCGGGAGTGGGAAACCTGCAGCTTTGAGGCCACACGTGGCCCTCTGGGTCCTCAAGTTCAGTCCTTTGACTGAACCCAAACTTCACAGAACAAATCCACTTAATAAAAGGATTTGTTCTGCAAAACTTGGACTTAGTCAAAAAGCCACACTGAAGGCCATATGTGGCCTCAAGGCCCCAGGCTCCCCACCTCTGGTATAGACCTTTGTTGCAAGGTGATGTCTCTGTTCTTTAGCATGCTGTCTAGATTTGTTATACTTTCCTTCTAAGGAGCAAGTGTCTTCTAATTTCATACCTGCAGCCGCTATGCGCAATGATCTTTGAGCCCAAGAACATAAACTCTGACATTGCTTCCATTTCTTTCCCTCTGTTTGCCAGGAAATGATGGGACTGATTGTCAAGATCTTCGTTTTTTTAATGTTAAGCTTCAAGCCAGCTTTTACACTCTCCTATTTCATCCTCATCAAGAGACTTCTTAATTCCCCTTTACTTGGTACCATCAGAGCGGTGTCATCTACATATATGAGATTGTTACTATTTCTCCCAGTAACCTTAATTCTAGCCTTTGATTCATCCATCCTGGCATTTCACGTGATGTACTCTGCATATAAGTTAAATAGATAAGGTAACAATACAGAGCCTTGTCGTACTCCTTTTCCCAACTTAGACCAATCAGTTGTTTCATGTTCGGTTCTAACTGTTACTTGTTGGCCTGCATACGGGTTCCTCAGGAGGCAATTAAGATGAGCTGGTACTTCCAACTCCATGAGAACTTGCTACATTTTAAACTTTATTTATTTTTAATTTATAGAAAATAAACATTTCCATAACACATGAAACTGAAAATCTTTTTTATGTACAACTTGCTACTCCTCTTAAAAATATAATAAAGTTATTACATAAATTTCTTCCCCCTTTTTTCTCCCCCCCCCTTTAGAAATGGCTACCATAGACACAAATATGTGTGTGTATACATATGTACATCAAATCACTCCATACATACTTCTATTTCTCAGTTCTTTCTCTGGATGCAGATAGTGTCTTCCTTCATATGTTCTTGTAGTTTGGATATTTATAATACTCAAAATGACTCATTTGCTCAAATTTCTTTTTAAAACAATGTTAAAACTGTTACTGTCTACAATGTTCTCTTGCTTCTGCTCATTTCGCTCTTCATTATTTCATGCAAGTCTAAGATAATCAAGCTCATCATTTCTTATAGCACAGTAGTATTTTCACAATCATATACCACAACTTGTTCAGCCATTCCCCAAATGACTGGCATTCCCTGAAATTTCCAGTTCTTTGCCACCACAAAAACAGCTACTATAAACATTTTAGAACATATAGGTTCTTTTCCTTTTTCCCTAATCATCTTTGGAAACAGACCTAGTAGCGGTATTGCTGGATCAAAGGATATAGGCAGTTTGATGACTCTTTCGGCATAATTCCAGCTTGCTCTCCAAAATGGCTGGATCAGTTCACAATGTCACCAGCAAAGAATTAGTGTCCCAATTTTTCCACATACCCTCCAACATTTATTGCTTTTCCCTTCAATCATTTTAGCCAATCTGATAGTTGTAAAATATCTCAAGGCTGTTTTAATTTGCTTTTCTCTAATCAATAATGATTTTTTTTTAGGCAATTGGGATTAAGTGACTTGCCCAGGGTCACACAGCTAGCAAGTGTCAAGTGTTTGGTCTGAGGTCACATTTGAACTCAGGTTCTCCTAACCTCAGGGCCGGTGCTCTATCCACTGCGCCATCTAGCTGCCCCATCAATAATGATTTAGAGCATTTTTCACATGCCATATTTTATTGTGATCCACACAAAGGCTTTAGTGTAATCAACAAAGCAGAAGTAGATTTTTTCTGGAACTCCCTTGCTTTCTCCATAATCCAGCAAATGTTGGCAATTTGGTCTCAAGTTCCTCTGCCTCTGAAAACCAGCGTGCTCTTCTTGGTAATTCTTGGTTCACATGATGCTGAAAAGGTGATGGGGGCTAGAGCTAGGGGGTGGCCATGAGATGGATTTAGAGCTAGAAGGGACCTGAGAGGTCATCTCCTTCAAAACTGAGGCCCAGTAGAAGGCAGGGGCAGGATTCAAACCCAGGCCCTCTGGTTCATGTCCAAAAGGGGAGGGATGGACGAGATGTTGAGGAGGCAGAATGTGGTAAGACTTAGTGACTTGTTCAGATCCAGAGGCTGAGGGAGACTTTAAAACGGGACCAGCGTGCCTGAAAGGATGGGGTGTCCTTCCTCCTCCTCCATGCTCTCACATAAATTTTAACGTGGAGGAGGAGAGTCTGTGAAGGCCCTCAACCCCCAGAGAGGCACGAGAATTCAGAAAAGAGAACGGTATTGCGGTGGGATGGCCTGCTGGAGGTGGTGGTGTTGGACCAGGTCTCCAGCCGTGGCTGGGGTTGCACAGGTCAAGTAAGTTTTTCTAGGTGGAAAGGACAGCACAAGCAAATGCCCAGAGAGGGTAAAGAAACAGCCCAACACTTGGGAAACAAGGCCAGAAAAGTGGGTGGTGCCAGGCTTCAAAGGACATGCAAGAGTCAATCAAAAGATACTGTACCCTCTTCAACTAGGTCCTTTTTTGGGGGGGTCATTGTCTTTTTTTAAAAATTCATCTGTTTTGAATTGTCAACAGTTACTTCCATGAGCTTCTGAGTAGGTCCTTTTTTTTTTTTTTAAAGAATAGGTTTCCATTATCTCCTGTTTTCCCATGATCCAGCTAGACTAAGCCTCTTTGTGCTTCTCAGTGGTGTTCTCAGAAGTAAGGATTTGCTTGGGTTCTTCTCTCTCCCTGTCAGAGCTCAGCACACACCACAGGGGCTTGGCTCAGGCTTGCTGACCTGTGGCTGACTTTTAAAGTTCTATCATTGTCTTTTTTTTTCCTCTTGGGTGGCCGTGGCCAAAGTTTCATTGACAGAGAAACAGAGAGCAGGCCTCGGGTCAGGGAGAACTGAAAGAAAGGATGTTATAAAGGAGCTGCAGGACAGAGGAGAAGGTGAGTTGGTGAGGAGGGGAGGATGGACAGAGGGTGCCATTCATCCCTTCAAGGGATGGCTCCAGCACATGAGGCAGACCCCCAGTGACAACACAGACAGACAGGCCTGATCCCCTGGAGGGAACTCCCTACCTGATGTGGTCACCACTTGGGTGGGTCCCTGAGGGGGCTTTCTGGGAGCATACCAACAATGGTTACACGAGATGGGCAGGTTGTGGTAGCGCCTATGGAGGGAACACCTGAATCCATGAGATCCCCATCCCACCAAATCCTCCAGGCTGAGCAGATGTGAGCAAATCTGACCTTGAGGTGGATGCTACTGAAGGTGTAAAGCCATTGTGGTGGTTTCAATTCGAATGATGGAGAAAGGGGGTTCACTACACCCCTAAAAGTATCATGACAGGTTGTAGGTGTAGAAGGGGGCAGTAGGTCTAGTGGCTAAGGGGCTGCCTGGGTGACTCTGGGTCCTCTGCCTGGCTGGAGGCATGGGGCCAAAAGACACGTGCATAACAAAGCTTGGGGTGGTCAGTCCACTGTCAAGATGTTAGGAGAGCCTTTCTCCTGGAGCTTAGGCCCAGCAAGCACGCCCTGAGCTTGGCAGAGCGGAGATCAGTCCTGGAGCTTGGGCAAGCCCCTGCAGGCCCAGACACGAAGCCCTACTATGAACAGACCTTTGGTCACAGACAGCCTTGCCTACCCTGCTTGACTCTTTGTGTAGCCACAAGCACACACATCGAGGCAGGGCCCCACTGCTGCAGCCCCCCCGCCCCTGACTTTGACATGAAACTTCTCTTTGCGTCCTGACCCTCTGGCCTCTGGCCTGCTCTATCCGCTCTGGCCACCCGTTAGAGGTCGGTTGGGTGCGGTTGACACCAACAATAAGCCCTGATTGAGCACCTACTATGTGCCAGGCACCCAGCTGTGTGCAGGGGAGACCAAGAGGGGCAAAGACAGCCCTGGCCAGTCCAATGGGAGGGGGAGCCCGTAAGAGCAGGGGCTTATTAGGTCTCGCTCACCCCCCTCTCTTCATCTGACCCTCTAAGCCTTGGCACAGTGCATGGTATATAGTGGGAGCTTAATCAACGCTCCTTCTCTCCTCCTCCCCCCTTCCTCCACTTTACATAGGAGGAAATGAGGCACAGAGGGGCGGGGGCACCCTTCCCGGAGTCACGGGGCTAGTCCGTGAAGGGGGGGCGGAGGGCGGGGAGGAAGGACCTCCATGGCCTCCCCAGGACGAATAGTGACGGAACGGGGCGGGGTCTCCTCCGAGCAACGGCTGCCCCACCCCGCCCCGCCCCCTCCCTCTGGACTACATCTCCCAGGAGCCTCTGTTCCCGCCTCGCCCCCCGGAAGGCCGCTCGGGTCAACGGGGCTAAGGGAGCGATGGCGGCGGCGGCGGCGGCGGCGACGGCGGCTTGGGCCCAGCGGCTGGCGGGCGTGCGCGGGCTGCTCCTCGACGTCTCCGGAGTGCTCTACGACGGCGGCGATGGCGGTGGCACGGCTATTCCCGGCTCCGTCGAGGCAGTGGCCAGGTGCGGAGGGTGCGGAGAGGGACGGAGGGGGGCGGCGGCGCGCTGCGAGGGGCGGGGCGGGAGGGCGGAGCCTACGGATCGTTGCCCGGGAGACCCTGGACGCCGTGGACTGCCGGGAGTGCGCGCGCAGCGTGGAACGTTGTCGGGGAGCGGGGCCGGTGGGGTTGGGGGGCGCCGGCTCTCGCTGGAGGCTCTCTCTGCGCTTTTTCTGGAGGCAGGACCGAGACTGGAGGAGGGGGTGAGGAGGGGGACGCGGCTGCAGGGGCTGGGGGCGTGCCGACCCTCGCCCCTCACCTTCTTGTATTTGAACTCGTCCATCCTAGAACGGACCGGGTCAGCTCTCGGTGGACCGGGCAGCCTCATTCATTGTGGGTAGGGTCTGTCCGTGCCACCCACACCTTGCCCTTGCATGGTTGGACAACAGGCCAGCGATGGGTTGTAGGTCTCTAAGAGACACATCTTGTCCAGGTCAAAGTGTGTGTGTGTGTGTGTGTGTGTGTGTGTGTGTGTGTGTGTGTGTGTGTGTGTGTGTGTATAGATGCATTCTCAGCTTCCTTAGTATAATAGTTGGTGCTGTTGGTGTCTGTTCCTTAAGGGAAGGCAAGGGCTACTTGTAGGAGCTGCCTTGGGAGACCTTGAAAGATCCCTGGGTTCAAATGCCCCCCTGCCTCTCCCCATCTTTGTGTCTCCTAGAGGTCAGGCTGAAAGGAACCTTAGAGGGTGTGGAATCCAACACTCCATCTTACAGATGAGGAAACTGAGGCAAAGACAGATGCCCTGACAGCCCAAGATCACCCTGCTGGGGAAGTGTCCTCCCATCGAGGGATGGTCCTGGTGCCCTGTCTGGGGGAAGACTAGTTGGCCTCAGGTGCCCTTGCTAGCTCCGGAATCTGTGTTCCTGTGATGACCTGGTCCGTTTTACAGATGAGGAAATGGGAGCCCAGAGAGGCTCACACTTTGCCCACAGCCACACAGCAGAGAAATGTCAAAGGAGGGACTGGAAATGGGGGGTGCTGCCAAGGCATGCCGAGGGCACCGAGAGATAATGAGGAGAAGTGCTTTAAGGGGATGGAGCCCTCTCCCAGGACCACCCAGCCGGGCAGGCAGCTAGTGTGGGGTGATGGGCCCCCTACTGCCTAGAGAGGGGAGAGGGCTCCCATCTACGCGGTTTGGCACCAGGTCTGAGCCCAGGACTTTGGATGTCCCCCTGGCATTCTTTGTCCTGTGGTTTAATCGAGGACAAGTAGGGCCCAGGTGGGGGCAGAATGGGGTAATAGAGAGACAGATAGTTTCCTCTTACTCTGCATTATAGCCAGTCAGTCAGCAAGCATTTATCCATCACCCGAGGTGAGCCCCAGGGCCCAGCACCAGCTCACAAAGACATGTGAATTGAGCCTGCCCTCTGGGAGCTTACCTTCCATGGGTGGTCCGAGACAGCCTTCACTGACTGCTGTTCCCCGCTCTCCTGGCTGGGGCGTAAGAGGCAGCTTGCTGTTTGCAAAGCATTTCCCTTGTTGCGTTTTTATCTTGACACAGATTAGATGAGGGGCAGTGGACAGAGTGAGAGATTTGCTCAGCTGGTTATTGTCTGTGTGACCTTGGGCAGTCAGCCCACCCAGGCCTCAGCTTCCCTCTCTGTAAAATGAGGAGATTGGACTCACTACTTAACATCTGTTCCAGCTCTAAACCTATAACCTTGTGGTCTCACGTGAGCAGGCCGTTTTTCTGAGGCGTTACTCTCCTAATAATTCCTGCCTCCCAGTGTGGCCTTGAGGAAAGTGCTGTAAGGAAATAGTCTGTTATAATTATTACATGCTGATAATCAGTTTGCCCTTGGGCATGGTTTCAGGGTGTGTCAGCAGGCCCCAGAGAAAAAGAATAAGTTTCGTGGGTTCATAGGGGACCTCTGAGGCTGTCTTATCCAGACAGTACCCAAGCCTTGGCTCCAAGACCTCCTGTGAGGGGCACCCACACTGCCTCCAAGGCAACCCATTGGCCCACTGGGTGGCAGCCCGGATGCTTAGGGGATTTTCCCTGGCGGCTTCTTTTACCTTCTTAAATTTTATTGGCAAGGGGCAGCTAGGTGGCATAATGGATAGAGCTCTGGCTTTGGAGTCAGGAGGACCTGAGTTTAAATCTGGCCTCAGACTCTTAATACTTACTAGCTGTGTGACATTGGGCAAGTCACTTAACCCCGACTGCCTCACCAAAAAGCAAAAAAAAAAATTGTATTGGCAAACGTGGAGCTGATATACTGTGGCCCACCACTCTTCAGCTGAGCCCTTGTGGTGACTTCCTCCCTCTCTCACATTTGACTTCCTCCATCCCTCTGCTTTGGTGTTCACATCCAGTTTCCAGGCATTTTACAACCAAAATGGCAGAGATTCGACAGGGGGATGGATGTGAGCAGAGCAGGATCCCAGAGTGAGGAACGCCCTATTTTATTTCATTTTTATTTATTTATTTTTAGTTTCGAACATTCACTTTTATAGGATTTTGAGTTCTGATTTTTTCCCTGTCCCTCCTCTCTCCTCCCCCCGCGATGGCATGCAATCTGATATAGACTATACATGCACAATCATATTAAACATATTTCCACATTAATCATGTTGTAAAAAAAGAATCAGAACAAAAGGGAAAAGACACGAGAAATGGGGAAAAAAAAGGAGAAATAGTCTGCTTCCATCTGAATGCAGATAGCGTTTTCCACCATGAGTCCCTTTGAGTTGTCTTAGATCCTTGCCTTGTTAAGAAGAGAAGTCTGTCAAAGTCGGTCATCGCACAGTGTGGCTGTTACTGTGTCCAACGTTCTCCTGGTTCTGCTCCCTTCACTTAGCATCAGTTCGTGTAGGTGTTTCCAGATTTTTCTGAAGTCTGCCTGGATTTTGGAACACGAGTATTCTACATTCCTGTACCACAGCTTGCTCAGCCGTTCCCCACTGGATGGGCAGCCCCTCAATTCCCGTTCCTCTGTCACCACAGAAGGAGCTGCTGTAAATGTTCTTGTCCATGTGGGTCCTTCCCCTTTTTTATGATCTCTGTCGGATACAGACCCAGTAGTGCTATTGCTGGGTCAGAGGTCAGGCACAGTTTTATAAGCCTTGGGCACGGAGAGGAGCATTGTAGTTCAGGACATTTCTTTTTGGTCAGTTCTTTGTAGCTGGGAAGAACAAGACTGCAGGCCCATGCAGGGCCCACCCTGAGTCCGCCCTGGTCCTGGGAGGCCCATACTGGCCCACCCTGGGATGGGGGCCCTTCCTTCTCATTGCCAGAGCCACCCAAGTAGAGGTTAATTGTCCTGTGAAGTTTGGAGCAGACGGGGTTTGGAGTCAGGTGAGAGCGGGGTTCAGATCCCTCCTCTGACGCTCCAGGTGTCACCCTGGGCCTGTCACTTCTCCCTGATCTTCAGTTTCTTCACCTGTAAGATGGGGATGATGCATAATGCTCCCAATCCCTACCTCAGAGGGTCATTGTGAAAAACTGCTACTCTTCTGTGATTGTGTCATTCGTTCATGGCAGCCTTTGGCTGCTTTAGATTGTAAGCTCCTCGAGGGCAGGGGTGGTTGTGTTGGGTGCAGTGCCCGGGGGCACATAGTAGGTGCTTAATAAATGTTGATTGATTGATTGGCTTCCTCTCCAAGGCTGTGGAGCCCCTGCCGGCACAGGCTGTGGGCACCCAGTAGGTACGTATACAGGGCCAAACAGAGAGTTGTTAATGGCAGAGATGGCCGCGTAAAGGATGGATTGTCTTCTCTGCGTTTTTGTGGATGTAAATCACAGCAAAGCTGTCAGGTGCAGGCTTCTGTGGTCCTTGTGTTACAGAGGAGGACACTGAGGCTCTGAAGACTGATTCGCCCTGGGTCACCCAGTTAGTAAGCTTCTGAGGCTGGGTTTGAGCCCAGGGCTTCCTGCCTGTATTCATCAGGCTGCAGGAAGACTTAAATTTTTTTTGTTTAATTTATAAAACCATTAAAAATTATCAAATACATGTAAGACAAAGAGACAGCTTGTAGTGTTGTAGTGGAATCAGGAAGACCTGAGTTCAAATCCAGCCTCAGATACTTCCTAGCAGTGTGACCCTGGGCAAGTCATGTGAACCTCTCTGTGCCTCAGTTTCCTCATCTGTAAAATGAGAAGGTTGGGCTGGATGGCCTTTGAGGGCCCTTGCAGCCTGAGATACACACTCAAACACAAAGTAACAAACAAGGGGAAATGCTTTCTTCTCTGTCCTTGTCCAGGTCTGTCCCAAGTTCTAAGATGCTGGCTTTGCTTTCCGTCCCTCTGTCTTGTCTTTCTGCCTCATGTATCTGGCAGTGCTACTTCCGCCAGTACAAGGCAGAGCCGTGGGTGAAGGGCTCCCACGTTGCTTCAAAGGCTTCTCGTCTTGATTCTTTCTTGCGTTGGCGCCTTCTCTTCTGCGGCGTGAACATGCCATCTTTAGTCCAGCCATTCCCCAGTGTTGGGCTTTCTAGTGTCAGCTTCTTCTTTCTTGCTGGTGCCAAGGGTGGAATCACAGAATTGCTGAGCTGGCAGGGCCCTCAGGGACCCTCCAGGGAGGGGGACCTTCTGTCAAGGGCAGGGGGCCCATCTTGCATGGCTCTCAGGCCCCTGGAGGGGAGGGCAGGCTCAGTCTCATTTTAGCTCTTGGGTCTCCAGCACCCAGCAGAGTGCCTGGCACCTGGTCAGCTTTCAATAAATGCTGTTGAACTGAACGACATTTGCCTCTCAGAAGCTTTCTATCCATTGCTCCTCAGTCAGTCACTATACACATACACTTATACATATGTACATGAATATACATGTAGAGGCACACGAAGAATAAATGGAAGGCTACCGGGGGGGAAGGGAAGGCAGGCACCAGCAGCAGTGGCCAGGATCAAGATGAGTTTCGAGCCTGTGGAAGGTTGTTCAAGCTGTCTCAGAAGAGGCTAGGACTCCAGCAGGAAAGGGGAGGAGGGAGTGCATTCCAGGTGTGAGGGATGGCCAGTACAAAAGCACCC